ATATTTATATAAAAAGTCCAATAATAGCAGTATGTTATGCATCAATAGCAGCAACAGCTTTTCCAGTTTCTGCAGTCATTTGAACAAAATTATAGACATTCAGCACACTCCATTAAAAAAACAAAACAGGAGGGCAGAGGTAAGGGGAAAAAATGAGAATCAAGACTTTCCATGTAGAGGTAGATGATCCCAACAGTGAATGTAATTGTACTGTATCCCTAAAATGTACAAATAAACTCAATAAAATTAAAAAAATTAAATAAAACAAAGAGAAGAATAATACCCAGAAAACAGCAAAGTTCTGTTGTGGTACCTGGCACCATTTTTTATTAGCATCTTAATCATCATCTGGAGAGAGGAGATTCTAGAGTAACATCATTAAAAATGGCTCTGATAAAGCATGGCCACTACTACATATCATAAAGCAGGTACAAGATATTTTACATTCACAGAGGTATGATACAGTACTGTCCTACTTCTATAATACTAGAATCAGTTTTGGTTTGAAATTTACTTTGTCTGAAAATAAGATTGCTACCCCTGCCTTTTTTCTGGGCTCCTGTCACATGGAGAATTGTTTTCTATCCTTTCACTTTCAGTCTATGGGCTTTTTTTTGCAATAGGTGTGTTTCTTGTATACAACATATTGTTGGATTTTGCTTCTTATTCCATTCTGCCAGTCTATTTCTCTTGATTGGTGAGTTGAGGCCATTTATATTGCTGGTTATAACTGATATGTACTGACTTATTTTGTCCTGTTATGGCCTTTTGTTGCCTCTTTTTACTTTTTCACCTTCTCCTTTTAGTTTCTTGCCTTGCCTATTTGATTTGCTCTGTTGGGCCTCATGTTGTTGCTACCTTCATTGTCTTTTTTCTAGGATCTTGTTTAGAATTGCTTGTAGTGCTGGTTTGGTATTCATGTAGTTTCTCAGGTGTTCTTTATCATGGAAGTGTCTTATTTCCCCATCCATTTTGAAAGAGAGAGTTGCAGGATACATCAGTCCAGGTTGGAGGTTGTTCTCTTTTAGTACTTGAGATATCTCACTCCAGGCTCTCCTTGCCCTAAGAGTTTGTGTTCAAAAGTCTGCTGTGATTCTAATGGGCTTTCCTTTGCATGTGATTTGTTTCTTTTCTCTTACTGCTTGTACTATTTTGTTCTTCTGTTGGGTTTCTGGGATCTTGATTATTATATGTCTAGCTGTAGATTTTGTAGTGTTATGTAGACATAACACTCTGCCTCTGCAGAGTGGGTCCAAAGACTGGCTCAATCAGGAGGTCTGAGAGTGCGTGGGGGAGGGGGTTGTGGGGGTTTCGGGGTGCCCGCTTGGCTACCTTCCTGGTGCTGGAGCGATGGTGGCTCCTGGTGGGGGAAGGAGTGGCTATCCTTCCCATGGTGGATCATTAAATTTTTAAAATGAAACATAGTTTGAATGGGTAATTACATTCTTCAAAGGGAAAAACCAGAAATCCAAGATTAATGAAAAACTCCTGGGAGACAAGTGGATCACCATAATGTGTTCTGATTTTGAATCATCAGCTTTAATTTAATATCCAGATAATAAAGTCCTAGATCTCAATGCTTATCTGCACCCTAAATCAAGGTAATTGCTATCATTTTTTAAATGGTATATTTGAATGCTTCTTAATCTCTCTCTGATATAATGATTTTTTTCTTTCTTAAAGGGGCATGGCTTTACTTTCTCTCTTATTTCCCTTAAAAGAGTTGGGTGTATATTACTGGACTCATGATCTTCTGAAATATAATGCAACATTGCTTAGAAGAGTGATTCTACAGTAAGTGTGCATAGATGGAGATGGATTACAAAAATTGCAATAATGACAGAGGCTTGAGGATTGGGTTTTTCATGACTGGGTAATTTGATAAAGGCTTTGGACCTCAAATGTGTAAGTAGTTTACTAGAGAATATTTCAAATGAAAATATGTTGTATTGTGTGCCTGTTTCATTGTTCTAATGACATTTCTTTTTTAAAAGTTGCTTAAAAATCATGGAAACACACAATCTCACAAGTGTCTCTGAATTCCATCTCCTGGGCTTCTCAGAGGACCCAGACCTGCAGCCCGTCCTCTTTGGACTGTTCCTGTCCATGTACCTGGTCACGGTGCTTGGGAACCTGCTCATCATCCTGGCCGTCAGCTCTGACTCCCACCTCCACACCCCCATGTACTTCTTCCTCTCTACGTTGTCTTTTGATGACATCTGTCTCACCTCCTCTACGGTCCCAAAGTTGATAGCAGGCATCTTGACTCACAGTAGAGTCATCTCCTATGTGGGCTGCCTGAGACAGATGTCTTTTTTCATCCTGTTTGAATGTACTGACAGCGTGCTTCTGACTGTGATGGCCTATGACCGTTTTGTGGCCATCTGCCACCCCCTGCATTATGCAGTCATTATGAACCCTCGCCTCTGTGTCTTGTTGGTTTTGTTCTCTGTCTTTTCTGGCCTTCTGGATTCCCAGGTGCACAATTTAGTTATCTTACAAGTTACCTGTTTCAAGAATATGCAAATTGCTAGTTTCTTTTGTGACCCTTCTCAACTCCTTGAGCTTTCATGTTCTGATATCTTAATCAAAAACATAGTCACGTATATGGTTGGTATCGTATTTGGTTTCTTTCCCATGTCAGGGATCATTTTCTCCTACTATAAAATTGTTTCTGCCCTTCTGAAAATCTCATCATCTGGGGGCAGGTACAAAGCCTTTTCTACCTGCGGTTCTCATCTCTCAGTAGTTTGCTTATTTTATGGATCTGGCTTTGGAACGTACCTTGGTTCAAGTGCATCATATTCTCCCTGCAAGGGCGATGTGGCCTCACTGATGTACTCTGTGGTCACCCCGATGCTGAATCCCTTCATCTACAGCCTGAGGAACAGGGACATTCTTAACACCCTAAAGAGGCTCCGCGGTTGGAGAGTCTAATCCTATGACATTCAACACCTATTCGGAATGTAGTTTTGGAGAATGTGGTAAAGTGTAAGATTCAAAACTCACCTGCACATCCTGACTCCTTAGCTATGGTTCTGAAGGGTGACACGTTTGATTTATCGTGCTTCACAGCAGAATTATGACTGGTTGGGAATGTTGGAATTAAGGTTCTTCATATGTGCAAAATTCATTTGGGAAGGTAGAATTTTTGGACATGGATAAGAATGATAGATACACAAAAACAAAATTATAGCTAATGTCACCAAGCTGAGCACCTAAAAATGGTTAAAAATGGTACATTTGCTTATATATAAAATGTTAACACAATAAGCATAAAAAAGCTAGCGTACTTATATGCATAAATTTCAGCTAACTCTGAGTCCTACAGTTGCAATATTCTTTAAAGTAAAATTTCTAAATTGTAACTTTCATTGTCTTTCTCCTACCTACCTTTATTTCTTCAATTCTATCTTATTACACCCTTCCGAGTATTTGACGTATATTTCCTAAGAGAGGTGGAAGTCTGAAGTTCCTCCTTCTTAAGACTGCTTCAGGCTGAGTAGGTGGGGGGCAGCGCCCTCGCCAAGTTAGGGAAGAAATATCTCACTCTGACTGATCTAAGGGGGGCAAAAATAGATGGGTTTTGTTGTTTGATGACCCATTCTCCTTAAATATTCTGAAAAAAAAAGAAGCACATTAGTGAGTCAAAGAGTTTTCAACCTCACTTTTAACCAAGTTACCTAGGCAAGTGTCAAAAACTAAAAGAATATAGGTGAATAGGGCTTCAAAAGTTGTAGAATTCAGACAAAATCTGGCAGCGCTTTTACTTCTATATTTTTTGAAGTGTTTATCCAAGTACAAGAGACAGAGTCATAGTTTATATTTTTCCTTGTTTTTTTTTTCTCATTGAGTTTATTAGTACATTTTAGGTATACAGTACAGTTACATTCATTACTGGGATTTTGTACCTCTATTTTGACAGGTCTTGGTTCTCATTTTTCCCCCTTCCCCTGCCATCCCTTCACCCCCTCCTCCCCTCCCCATTTACAAACACTTTATTTCCATTTTTTCATTTTCTCGTATTTTTTTTCTTTTCCCTTACTAGCTTTCCCCTACCACTCCCACTTTCCCTACACCTTCAGCCCTTTTCTTCCTATTTCACACTGTCATTTATCTCATTAGGATCTTATGTACTATTGTAGTTTTTTACACCAGAGAAACTATTCACTATTTACACATGTGACTTATTTATTTCACTTAGGAGTATATCCTCAATATGGACCCATTTTCCTATGAATGAATCTAACTTCTCATTCTTTGTGGCTGAGTAGTATTCCATTTCATAGAAAAACCACATTCATGGATATTTTTTAAAATAAATCCTAAGACAAATATTATGGTTTATATCAACCCAGAATGCTCACTAACTCAGAGGATGGCCTTTTGGAAGGTGTGTGAACAATGGGGCTGCTCCGCTGACTTCCTGTTAGGAGGTGGGTCTGGTCAGAGGGAGGTCACTGGGGTGTGATTTGAAGTGTGTGTGCCTCTCCTCTGCCATCCCTGCTCTCTCCTCACCTCTATTATGTGAGCAGTTTCTCTTTCCATACCCTCCCACCATGCTGTTTCTGTCTTGGAGCCTACCAACCTGGAACTGTAATTATGAGCTAAAACAAACTTCCCTTTCTTTACATTGTATATATTTGATATTGTGTCGCAGCAATGGGAAATGTGATGAAAACAAATAAGGTGATGCATTGGATAGACTTATGGGGGTCAAAATGTAAGTGAGTAGTAGGAAAATTGAATATACATTAACTGTTGGAGTTCAGATTATCCGTTTTCTACCCACATACTATCTGGAAATTCTCACATCTGGAACAAGAATTTTATGAGGATTGTCATGACAAGAAACTGAGAAGTGATCTCATATCCAGAGAGCACTACACAGACCAACTTCTTTCTATATGTGGCTGTAAATTAGCACATTTCAGGACAATAAGTATATCAACTATTTCAAAGAGCTTTAAACATTTTAAACCCATTTTTAAAGAAAAACCATTTTCAGATTCTAAGCCAATATTAGATATATTCTGGATAAGGTTTGAAACAAACTTTTAAGGATGCATAAACCTAAGGGATGTGTAAACCTATACTTAGTTGTGGACATTGAGAGGAAAGTTCATGCACCTGAATTCTGGACAGTCATTGCTTTTGGAGACAGATATGTGGGAGAACGGAATTGTGCAGAATAACCAAGACCTAAAGTTTCACAGGTAACAATTTCAATGGCGAAGAGGAATCAATTGTGGGGCAGGGGATTTAGCTCAGTATTGCTGCACCTGCCTTGCAAATAAAAGGTCCTGAGTTCAATCCCTGGTATCGGAGGGAGGAAAATCAATTATGAAGCCTGTATTCTACATGTTTACTTTTTAGGTAGTGGAAATTCTTGGTGGTAATAATAGGTAAAATGAAGGAGTTATTTTCTAAATGTCAGGAAATACTTTAAGGTAGTATTTTTCAACCACGTATAAGAAAATACAACTAAGAACTTCAAATGAAGATATTCTAATTAAATAGGTATCAAATGTACCAATAAACTCAATGAGGAAAAAAAGATGGGACTGAAACCAGTTTTGAGATGTTCCTGGGGCTAATATTCTAAATCATAAATAAGAAGATTTGTGATAAGAAAAACATTGACACAGAATTCACAGACCACTTTAGAAAGGAAAGGAAAAGGCATAGAAATACTTCAAAATTATGAAAGATTTGTTTGGATTAAGTGCTAAAAGAATTCTGTACTTGTTCTTTTTTCTCTCTTTTAGTTTATTGGTACATTTTAGGTATACAGTACAGTTACATTCATTGTTGGGATCTTGTACCTTTACATGACAGGTCTTGGTTCTCATTTTTTTCCCGTTGTCCCTGCCCTCCCTTCACCCCCTCATCCCCACCCCATTTACAAACATTTTATTTCCATTTTTTCATTTTCTCCTATTTTTTTCTTTTCCCTTATTACCTTTTCCCTACCCCTCCCACTTTCCCTACACCTTTAGCCCTTTTCTTCCTATTTCACACTGTCAATTATCTCATTAGGATCTCATGTACTATTATCATTTTTCACACCAGAGAAACTATTCGGTATTTGCACATGTGTGACTTATTTATTTCACTTAGGAGTATATCCTCAATATGTATAGATTTTCCTATGCATGACTCTAATTTCTCATTCTTTGTGGCTGAGTAGTATTCATTTTATAGAAAAAAGATGGGACTGAAACCAGTTTTGAGATGTTCCTGGGCTAACATTCTAAATCGTAAATAAGATTTGTGATAAGAAAAACATTGACACAGAATTCACAGACCACTTTAGCAAGGAAAGGAAAAGGCATAGAAATATTTCAAAATTATGAAAGATTTGTTAGGATTAAGTGCTAAAAGAATTCTGTACTTGTTCTTTTTTCTCTCTTTTAGTTTATTGGCACATTTTAGGTATGCAGTACAGTTACATTCATTGTTGGGATCTTGTACCTTTACATGACAGGTCTTGGTTCTCATTTTTCCCCCTTCTCCCTGCCCTCCCTTCACCCCCTCCTCGCCTCCCCATTTACAAACATTTTATTTCCACTTTTTTATTTTCTCCGATTTTTTCTTTTCCCTTATTACCTTTCCCCTACCCCTCCCACTTTCCCTACACCTTTAGCCCTTTTCTTCCTATTTCACACTGTCAATTATCTCATTAGGATCTCATGTACTATTATCATTTTTCACACCAGAGAAACTATTCGGTATTTGCACATGTGTGACTTATTTATTTCACTTAGGAGTATATCCTCAATATGTATAGATTTTCCTATGCATGACTCTAATTTCTCATTCTTTGTGGCTGAGTAGTATTCATTTTATAGAAAAACCACATCTTTATCCATTTATGTACTTGTTCTTACACAGTGCCTAACTAGGAGGCGTTTTTTTTTTTTTTTTAAACTGTGTTCAAGCAACAAGGGGCCACCTATCCATCCAACATCTCAGAATCCCATCTCAGGAAATTCTCAAAAAATTCATAAGTGAGCTTGTCTTTCTTGGCTTGCTCCACTGTTCAGCCCCATGCTGAGTCTTCATCTACAGCCTGAGGAACAGGACTTTAAAACGGTTCTGAGGAGCGTCCACAGTGAAGGAATCTATTCTCAGGGCCAGTGGCATCCATTTGGAATGAAGGGTGAAAAGCGCAGCAAAATTCGATTATAGACCTGTAAATCATGCCCCCTTCTTATACATTTTAGGCTTCTTAAAATTAATTTTAAAAGTTGTGTCGGTACATGTTTGCAGTACGTGGCAGAGATATATTGAGTGAAATAAACCAGTCCGACAAGATTTAATACCACATGGAGTCTCTCATTTGAAGAAGGCAAAGTACAAACAGATAATAATAAAAGATGGCTAGAAGGAGACAAAGGATTGCATCTCTTGCAAATGGGAAGGGATCCATTAAAATTAATTTTAAAAGTTGTGTCGGTACATGTTTGCAGTACGTGGCAGAGATATATTGAGTGAAATAAACCAGTCCGACAAGATTTAATACCACATGGAGTCTCTCATTTGAAGAAGGCAAAGTACAAACAGATAATAATAAAAGATGGCTAGAAGGAGACAAAGGATTGCATCTCTTGCAAATGGGAAGGGATCCAAGGGACCAAGACGTTTTTCACACCAGAGAAACTATTAGGTATTTGCACATTTGTGACTTTTTTATTTCACTTAGGAGTATATACTCAATATGTATACATTTTCCTATGCATGACTCTAATTTCTCATTCTTTGTGGCTGAGTAGTATTCATTTTATAGAAAAACCACATCTTTATCCATTTATGTGCTTGTTCTTACACAGTGCCTAACTAGGAGGCGTTTTTTTTTTTTTTTTAAACTGTGTTCAAGCAACAAGGGGCCACCTATCCATCCAACATCTCAGAATCCCATCTCAGGAAATTCTCAA